CATTTTATACCTTAAGGTCAAAAATGGTAAAAGAAAAACTCTCTTAAACTTTTTTAATGCTCCTCATTGCCGCTAACAAAGAAAACACCTAATCATTAATCTTAACTGAAATTGCATCCTAGGTCCTCAAACTAACAATTTAACGAAAAACAAAGAAAAAATAAACAAGTAAATCAAATTAATGAAGAAAAGATTATAAAAGGCTGACTAAACAAGATAAGGAGGCTAGCCGCTAGCCATATCCATCTTCTTCTCAAGCTGGTTGGGTAGGGAGAACTTATTACGACGTGTTTCTAATAATTAGTTGAAACACATTTATCAAAAGAATGTAAAACGCGTAGGTGATTCATTTAGATTTTCGATCAACAAAACAATCTTTGCTATAGGACAAATTTTAAATTTAGAGTGTTGGTATAAATCTTTTCCATGACATTAAATAAACAAATTGGAATAATTTAATTCGTATTTTAAATAGTACGTCTAGGCACTAAACTAAGCTTAATCCCCTAGCATGAAACTTGGCCTTGACGTATGACCATACTTTATGCTTTTTAGGACACTGGATTTAATATATAAAATATGTTTAGGAGATCTAGTTACATACAGCTGAAATCGCTATGACCCAAAGCTAAATATGTAAGTGCTGGTAGATTTCCAATTTCAGTTGGAATATTTTCTGTCAATCCATTTAAACATATAGATTTTAAAACATCAAATGTTAAATTAACACAAAATAGATCTAATTAACGAGAAGAAGTACCAACTAATCTGATTTCGATAACTAAGTAGCTATGAAGTTATTGTTGCACGTTGTATTTCTAATAATTATTTGGAAAATGTTGTACACTAAGCTTTTGATTGAAGTACCAACTAATCTGATTTCGATAACCGAGTAGACACTTTCCAGTCGATCCAGTTTTAAAAAATTATACACTATAAACATGTTAAAAAATATTATTATTTGAAAGAAATTCCATTTTATACATATTAAGATAATTTCTAGTCAATGTTGTTGGTTAACTCAACCCCTAATCATCGAATTTTCAAACACACCCCACTCACCCAACTCTTTCAACATGACCCAATAGAAATTTTAATACAAATTTGGTCAGCATACATGTTTTCTTCTCTCTTAATTCTTATTCTCCGTCTCTCCTGTTGACGTAAAAAATTGTCAAGAAATTCGATGTTAACAACACGTGATTAATGTTGAAATCTACTTAATGGCTCAATGTGCTTGCTTAATTGTCCCAAGGCCTAAAACTATGGTTGATTTTTTGACCCAAAAGATGGTTGGAAAGTCGAGCAGGGACTCAGAAACCAATACAAGAAATTTATCTTGCCGTTAGATTGGAGTACAAATGTATCATAGCCAAGACAAAATGCACAAGCAAATTTATCAGAAAAAAGATACTGATACAAATCATATCGTAGTAAGCCAATGGGTACCAAAGGGACAAAACAATCTGATAGATATATGTAATTCTTTTTTTGCTCTAGTTCATAGATCTTGATACTTGAGTCACATAACCCGAGGGAAGGGCTCAAAAGCAGGAAGTTGATAAAACCTATAGGCAAGAAGTGAAAGTATGAGATTGAAGCATGGAAAACTTCAACTCGATCAACTGGGTTAATACCCTAAATAGTCACTAAACTTTGTTAAAAGTTTCCAGGAGGTCACTAAATTTCAAAACTTTCCTAATTAGTCACTCAACTTCGCAAAAAGTTCCTAAGATGTCACTGAACTTCGAAACTACCCTAAATAGTCACCGAACATTTCCAAAACTATCCTAATTAGTCACTCAACTTTGCAAAAAATTCCTAGGAGGTCACTTGGCTACAAATTTTCTGGGTTTTTAACACTGAAAGACGGGCAGCAGCTAGGCATTCTAGCTTCCTTTTTTTTATTATTTTTTACTACTTTTCATTTTTGTTCCCTCTTTTCTTCCTCATTTTCATTTTTTTTTCTTTTCATTTTCTTGGTAATTTGGAGGAAAGATTAGAACAAACATAGGGGATAAATTCAAAGAAAAGGTAGAGAAAACTTGAAGAACTCGATCAATCCATCCATTGCTTCACAATCCAACAAAAGGGGTTTTTCTTTAATCTTGTTGTTTCTCCATTATTTTTTATCATTTTTGATGTATTGGATAAATATTCTCATTATTATTATATATTCAACAAGAGCTAAGTTTTATCGTTGGGATTTATGTTGAAACTTAACCTAATTGGATTAATTTCAACGTTTGCTTTTTAATGTTAAAATGGTTATTTTCATGTGTATCTACTATTGTATTTCATGTATTTTCAATCTTGCCAGTGAACTGGACTATTAGCGTATCATTCGCAAGATAAAATGCACATGCAAATCTATCAAAAAGCGAGATATCGGTACACAACCTATCGGGTAAAGCCAATGGGATACAAAAGGGTAAAGATATTGGATAGATAAATGGAACTCTTTATTTATTTATTTTTTTTTTGCTCTAACACACAATTCTTGTTGGGAACAGCTAATCAGATGGCAAGTTGATAAAACCTAAAGGCCAGATGTGAGGTCATGAGATTTAAGCATATAGGGTCAGCGGCCCCTTATTGGTAAAAGCTTCAAAAAAGGAGATTGAATTGCAATGCATATCTCATTCAACTAAGGAAAGCTAGATCCACTACGGAATCAAATTAAAAAATAATAAGAATAGAATCTTATAAACACGATACCTAGCACATTTTTAGACGTGTACACCTAATATAATAGTTGCACACTACAAAAAAAACGTATTTCACAACACGTAAAAAATGTTGTGAAAGACCTTTTACAACGTTCAAACATATGTTACGAGCTTCGATGTTGTCGTAGAGTAGAAGAATATAGTACCATGCAAAGCGCGTTGCAAAAGCCATCAAATGAACATTGCCTTTTCGTTTTGACAACGTTTATTGAATGTTGTTTTTAACGTTTTGTAATGTTCTTTACCTATTGCCTTTACATATTTTTGCAACATTCCCTGACCGTTGCCTTCACATATTTTGCAACATTCATTTATAACACTTTACCACTTTTTGCAACATTAATTGACTATTGCCTTTGCTTTGTCTGCATGTTTTGTTTTTACATGTTGTCTTTATTTTTATTCTCTTTTTTGCAACATTTTTTGACAGTTGTCATCGGTTATTTTACGTTTTTTTTTAAATTCTGTGATCATTTTTTCTATTTTTACAGCAATTTACGCAAATTGACCTAGCAAAATTAAAGATATACTCTGCGGCAAATACCAACTGCTATAGCTAGGTCTCCAGTTATCTCCCATCAGGTGTATGTGTATCCCACTAAGCACATTAATGACAATTCCCTACAAAAAAAATGAAAATTTGAGATATATCTGCAGTTGACAAAACATGACTTAACTTGATGACGGAAATCAGGATATGATAATAACAACGAAAAACTGAAAATAAATGAAGGATTGAAAGAATTCTTATAAAAAGTAACAAGATTTGAGAAGCATGTACAAAAAATTCAGATAGGCAATGTAGCTATATTATCATCAAAATTAACATTATGAACATCTACCCAAGTACAGTATGTTATGTTTTCACAACTAGGCATATAGGATCATACATTACCAAGATCCCTTTTGCTTTTGAGTACTAGATGACATATTCTTTCCTTAAATTTTGGCAAACCCTTGAACCTAACAACTGAACCTGTTATATATGATTTTAAATGAGCTCCTATACTTGCTCATCCTTGATTTTAGAGCCAGCTCTTTCCATAGAACTGAAGAAACTTTCTTACTAAACTTACATTAGGGGGTAGGGATGGAGATGATCCACTACAACAAAAACAGCCTACGGCAACGTTTGAATGTGTG